ATATAGGCTATGAAAGTGTGTTGATTCCATAAATAATGTTTGCCGGTCTTCTGTTCATATTTTGTAATTGTTAAAACCGATGACATAGTGGATGCATAAAATGGATGTATATCCTTTATGGATTGAACAAAAAATTTGTGTTTATGATATCCAAAAATTTGTGTCTAGGTGTAGTTTCTTATAGATAAGTGTCACATTTTTATCAATTGTAGACAAGCTTATGATTTTCGAAAATATGTTTGTTGACAGTGTCGAAAATGTGGGTGTGGCATAAGAGATATTTCTTAAGGATAATTCACACCCACGCTTCATAAAATTAAGGATAAGCATCACTTGTTTTTTTGGTTTGAATTATATATATTGGCATGTTTAGGGTAATTATTATTTTGTAAATTTTATACTAATTGATTGCCACCAAAGAAATACCAAGGAAATTTATATCTTAGTGACATAGTTAGGAATTCTTACATTGAAGAACTTTTTTGTAAGATTTTTTTGGATTGAACTTCTTGTTAATGATACCTAGTATGAAGGATTTTAAATATCGACTTTAAATTAGGAGTTGTTTTGTTTGTGCAGTTAGGATCATATACCAGTTTTTAGTTGGATGCTTTTAATTCGTCTAGTTTACTATGTCATGATCCGATTACAGGGTTGCTATTCGGGATGTAAACTTGAAGGATGTTTGGATCTATTTAAGCTAAATAAGGAGTTAGGTATTTTGGCTTAAATTTAAACTCTCATTGTCTCTAGCTTTACCCTTTTTTCTACCTAATGTTTTAGGTAGCACAATATCATGGATTGTTATACTAGAAGCCTTAGAGCCTTTTACACTAGAAGCCTTTTATATGTGATTTTCTTTGAGGCCTTATGTATTTTCAACAAGTTTTGGAGTTTGATTTGGATTTTTTTATATTTTTTGAGCTTGGACCTCTTCAAATGGAATTAGCCACAATGAGAAAAGTATACAAAGGGCTTTGAGTGACAATTGTTGCCATCCTGGTACATGAATTGACCTCTCACTCTTATATTATATTGGTGGATCTTGCTTGGTATTATGCCAGCTTTCTTGACTCCCTATTGTTCTTCTGGATTTTACTTGCCTTATTTTTTATTCGTAAATCAAATTCATGTTATTGGTGTGAGTATTTTGATTTAGCTAGTGTAACCAAGTTTCTTCCGAGTCCTCCTCCACGAAGTACTAAATGGTGAACATAATTGCACTATCTAATACAACATTTCATTTGTTCAAATTTCTTAATTATTTTATTCATCATAGCTTAACCTTAATAGCTTCTAGTATGAATTTATGCAAAGTCATGCTCTTGGAGTGTAAATTTATTTGAGATGATACATCAATAGAAAAGGTTTGAGATAATTACTTGTTAGTTTGTAATTCTTCGAAAGTTTTAATTATTATGAATTTTGTCTAAAACTGCAGTGATATTATATTCACTGGGAAAGTATTATGAGGGCAGACAAATCTCAAGGTCTTCCTTCTCCCTCTCCTCTCTTGCTACCTACTTAGTTTCACTTTAAATTTAATCAATTATTCAATTAAATATTCTATAATCTTTAAGCTTTATTAATATTGTTATCTTTCTTTGTCAAGATAATAATGGTTGGGCACTAAGTATTTGTGCTATCTTTTTTTTTTTTTTAATTCATTTTAGTTTTGTTTATAGCCATAACTGAGAAATGCTTATTTGTTTTTATGTATCTTTTGCTTACTTGTTTTGTGTAGCCTTGTTTATTGTAGCTCTATTAATTTACATTTTTAATTATTTCAACCATGAAGACTAAAGAGGTAAGTCTAAATAATTGTGTTTGGAAGTTATAAACTTTTCTATTTATGATTCTATAATGAGAGATGCAGGAATTGAAGTTGGAAAGTGAGAAAAAGAGTAGGTATTTATAGTGAATACATGTAATTGATTCTAGTGAATATATGTAAAAGAGTATGTGTGGTTTATATGATGCAAGGACGTGTCCACAATGCAACAGAAGTGTTCATTGAAAGATGACATAAATTTTTTTGCATTAAATCCAAAATTTCAAGTATTGCCTAGTTAGTTGTATAAGAAATGATTTAAATCTTCCTCCCATGCACCACCTCAAATTTTGTTAGTATTTCACATTCATATATCTATGTCGTTGTCGTTGTTTTTATCTATATAATTGATTCATTATAATAATTTTTAGAAAAGTCGTGTGACTACATATTTCACCAATGTAATGCATGTTGGAGTTAGAAAGAAAATATGGGGGTTAATATTAATATTTTCTTAATTGTTCGTTTTATTTTGTTGAAGGAATAGTTTGTGGGAGTAGCATTTTGAGAAAGGAGAATGTATAGAGAAGAGTTTCGACGTACTTTTGACATGTACGAGGTTAGTGTAATATGAATATGGTTCATTGGGTTAGTCTGAAACATCTGTTTCATTCTCTTATTGTAGTTATAGATTTACAGTATAGTATTTGTATAAAAATATTATAATTTACAAATTTGATCATATTTAGTTTGTATATGCATATGAAAACTTTGATCTTATTATATGCAACTTTGTTACATTTTATATTTACAGATATAGAGAATTTCTTTGAAATGTGTACGGTGTTATTAAATGTATTTCAAGACAGTTATGAAATTGTCATATATAAACTTTTTTTGACATTACAAACCTTTATTAAACACAAATTATGAAAAAAAAACTGTCACAGTTAATCAATTATCATATATAAGATTTTCGTGATAGTTAAAATTGTCAATATAAAGGTATTCATGACAATTAAAAATTGTCAATATAAAGAATTTCATGACAGTTAAAACTGTCAATATTCAACCGTTAAAACTATCACTATAAATGTTTTTGTGACAATTATAAATAGTCATTGTTATGCTTTTTCTTTACGTTTATTAGTAGTCGTTAAAAAATATTTCATGTCAATTTTGAACTGTCGTTAAAAAATATTTTATAACAATTATAAACTGTCGTTAAGAAATATTTCATGACATTTATAAACTATCGTCATTAAGTTTTTATTGACAGGGGAATAAAATCTTTAAGTGTTTCAGTGACAGTTATAAATTGTCACCAAATGAGTTTTTGTGACATTTTTTAATTGTGATGAAAGATCTATATGTGACAAATTATAACTATAGTTGTAAATGAATTTAATGACAATTTTTCAAAATTGTCATGTTCTCCTCTTTCTTGATGCCTTAATAGATGACAGTTATATAACTGTCATGAATTATGTTAATGACAATTTTTAACTGTTATTGAAGTCCGAATTTCACATTAGTAGTGGAAATCGTAGGTGATAGCAGTAAGTTAATGACAATTTTCTCTGTCCTCCACGAAGCAGTATAATTTCCACTCCAAACAGAGATTTAATTAATTTTACCCTAATAATTTATTTGGCGTTTAAATAAAACTAGAGTAAAAGCATTTGATACTAAGTAAATATTCATATTGTCTGTGGAGAACGATACTTATACTCAAACTACTATATTACTTAGATGATTCACAAACTTGCAAAAACGAATAACAATCTCCATTGGTAGATTTTTCCCTCCTTTGGTTCCACAAAGTTATTCTTTTTTAACCAGAACCACTCTTTGTTGATACAGTTGTATACATTTTTACTCAAATATATGGTATTGTGCATTAATTAAAGAATGGCAATTCATTCTAGGAGATTGTATAGTAAAAATTAGTTGGTTCTTTTTATTAATGTGTTTAGTATGTTGTTTTTTTTCAAATATGGTTAGCAGTAAGCAAGGAAAAGTCAGCTCGTCCATTACGATGATGGGCCGTTAATAGATATAGGTTAGTTCGGCCTTTACGAAGGTCTAGGTGATGCTTTTTGTATACTTTAGCTCGACCTTTAAAAAAATGTCGAATTGTGTTGATGTTTCTCTTCAAAGTTGGTTTTTAAGGTTGAACCATTATAATGACTCGATGTTGCCGATATATGGAATGTTGACGCATGACAGCTAAGAAATTACCTCCTACAAAATTAATTAAGGTATATATAAGGTACGGAGTTTGAATCCCTACCCCACTCCATAAGGAAAAAAAAGGAAAGAAAAAAAAAAATCTTTCAACTCCAACATAAAGAGTTGTTTGTTGGGAGAGGAATATATTCAAAACTTTGTCACCCAAAACAACCCTTTTTTCCTCGAGTTCAACCAACTTCTCTTTCAAGGTATGCTTAAAGAATCTTGATGCACATAGGATGAATAGGATTTAGTTCTTTTCTTACGATTTAAATTTTATTTTGTATTTAACCCTTGAAAGCAATTTCTTTATAGTCAAAGAATGATCCGAATAAAACATAATTAAAAATAGTTTATTATACGTATAAGAAGAGCTCACTCTTTAAAAAAAATAATAAAATTCAAAATAGGAAACAAGCTACAAAATTACGTCTCATGTTTACACAACCACACTATTGAAAGGATGCGAATCTCGGAGCGGAAGTAGTAGAACGCGTTATTGAATTTATTTTGAAATTTAAAACACATACAAGTATAAAACATGGAAGAATGTTGGATTTTACTTTGAAGATTCATCTTTAGGGTAGAGATTTCAAGTCTTTTTCATCTTTTAAGGGTTGAGCTTACTGTTATATTTGTAGGGAGGGAAAAATCCTAACAGCATTACGATATCTTAATTTTGGATATAGGATATCTAATCTAGCGAGAATCCTAAGACCATCACGATATATTCTTCTTTTTAATTAATAATAAAAAAATTAATTAAATCAATTAACAATTAATCAATTTAATTAATAATTAATAATTTAATTAATTTAAATCCAAATATTAAATAAATAAATAACAATAATTATTTAACTTTTAATTAAATATCACATGTTTAATTAAAACTATATACATCTCTCTTGTATAACTATACGAATCCAATTCATATTAATTATTATGAATCCTATTCAAATATTTCTCTCATAACATATAGTTTAATTATTGAATCTTTATTAAAAAATAAACTATATATATAATGTATCATAATATACATTATATATACTCCTTGATATATAATTTGAACATTTCAAATTCTCTCAAAATCTTGATCCTCGTTTTCCCTGTTGTGAGCTAGCAAGGGGACCTAATGGACCCACAGAAGCTCCAATGATACGAGATTAATCCATCAAACTCATTAACTGAGTTAATCAACATTCGTTAACTACGAGTCACTCCACTAAAGACCTGCAACTGCATTCTTCTCACTACAGAATATTTTCGTGTCCACGGATGTACGACCATTAACGGCAAGTCAATCGTTCACGAGTGCTCGTAACTCTAGCTGTGTCAAATTACCGTTTTATCCTTGAGTTACATCTTGCTCTTTAAATACTGTTGATCCTCTAATGAATAACCCGGTTATGGTTCGACCAATAATCGGAAGTCCCTCTCGGACCAGTGAGAGGGTGTGGCTCTTTGTTCAAATCCCAAAGTTAGTACTAAAGGGAACATTCATCTACTCCCCTAAAGTCTGGGAGGATTGAATTCCATAAGTTATGTACCTAGCTCCTTACTCTATCTAGTCCCCAAAATGGTAGGAATATCGAGTCGGCGACTCGGACCACTCTCACCGATACAAATCAAAGGTCGAGCCCTAACAGGCAGGAGCCCATATTGAGTTACCTGATCATCCTATTGAAATATTAATCTATTAGCTAACGATGTTACAGTTAAAGATTAATTATTTCGAAGTCTGATCTTATACAAACTCATTGTATAGGATACCCCTACTTGCATGTCTCCACATGAATGACATGGATCAAGTCATTTGTAAATATTACAAGGTGGACAGTATCCATAGTGTTACCAGGATAAGGTACCTAACCTTATCCATATAATATTAGACCTTTTAGGTTACTACTGTAACATTTTGGAGTTTTTGGTAATGGTTTGATTTTTGAGTGTTTGGTTATTAAATAGCAAAAGGAGGAAGGTTACTACTGGAACATTATCCACCTGTATATCAAATATATATTGTATATATATACACTGTATATCAAATATATACGTTGTATATTAAATATATACTGTATATCTGTTTAATATTGTTCCAGTTACATGACATAACATCGGATGCTAGTTTATTGGATTTGGGTTAATGCAATTCTAAGAGAAACATCAATAACAACCTTATTGAATAAATATTTGTTTTATGTTTACAAACCATGAGTTTAGGGCATAAAACCCAATAAATACAATAAATTCTAAGTTAATTATAGTACTCTGGCTTTACAGCCACTGTTTTTTTTATTTTTATTTATTATTGTTATTATTACTATTATTATTTAAGTAAATGCATGGAAGATGAGGTGTGTTTATTAGGGTTCAAATTTCATTTAAAAAATGACAAATAGTCCATAATAGACATTTTAAAAAATCCATCTTTTCCTTATAAATAGTTTAGGTTCCATGAATTACATGCTAAGCAACGAATAATTGTTTTTCATCTGGCAAAATTGGCTAATTCAATTAGGTATATAACTCAATCTTGCAATTATTTATATTTTCATTCTATTTTAAAATTTAAAATTTTTTTGTTCTTATTAGAGCAAAATGCAGATAAATTAAGGAACCACGAAATTAATTAATCCAAACCCAACAAAAGTGTTATTTTCTTAACACAATTTCGTTCTAGTATCACGAAAAATTGTCACCTAGAATAAGATGGATTACTGACATGTGATTGTAACACTCCAAACATAAGACTCAACGAACCTTTAGTATTTAAGCAATTGTACAAAGAAAAAATTAGGATAATTTTGAGAAAAGATTTTTCTGTGTTTCGAAACAAACAATAACCACATATTTATATACTATTTTTGGCCATTCAAATAGTCATATCTTTTATCTAAAGTTATTTCTTTTGATAAAGGACATATCCCTTCATAAGATTAGTGTCTTAAAAAAAAACCATGTCATCTCGAGAAAAGTTGTGGTTAAAAATAATTTTATTCATAAAATCCAACTATTGACCCCAACATGAATAAAAATTATTTTAAAAAGGCATATTATTACTCAAGACGAATAAGTACATTAGGCTAAGCAGTCACAGACTTTAGGAATAGGTTGCTTTTTCAAGAGTTTTTTAGCGAAATGTTTAATACTAATTGCTAGTATTCACTATCTCATGAATTGAGAATTGTGATTGGTTAATGTTAAAGATCTCATATTAAAAGAATAAAAGACCTAACAATAATTTATAATATAAGTGGACTATTCATCTCATGATCAATTAATTTTGAAATGATATACCATGAATATTGATATGACATATCTCCTTGAGTCGATACTCTATTTTATTTAGTTCATGTGCTCGACTCAAATATGACAACGTAACACACAACACAATCCTGTTTCATAAAAGCTATTTTCTTTGGTTTTGATAAATTCATGCAATAAACTTTCGATCTGTTTGAGTCAACAGGCGACATGGTGCCACACTCAAATTCAAAAGACTTCCTTTAGACTTTGAATTTCTGTCATTTCATAGTCTCTTCCATCAGAGCCTCTCTAACCCGTAAGTTATTAATTTGATAAATATAATAAGCCTATAATAAAAAAGATTGAACTAACTATCAAACACTTCTATAAATAGAGAACTTGACAATATTTCGAGTAGCTAAACTGATTAGTTTTTTTCTTCTCTCTTTCAAATTCTTTCCATTATAATTTCGAAAAGCTCAATGGCTCTCATTAAAAAGGAAAATTAGGAGCTTCAAGCATGCAACTTCGATGCACAAACTAGCATTTAAAGGAATCGCGTATTGGAAGCGCGTTATACTTACAGTTTTCATAATTAGCAAGTTATGAATTTTATCTTGTGTAGAAATTAATTCTACACGCTTCATTTGGTTATGTCCTTACCTAAATAGTAGGCATATAATTGATTGTACACTTTCATCACTTTCACCAGGTAGATTGAATTTCCCTTCCCATAGGCAAAAATGTTGGAATTAATTTAATAATTGATTCTGCGTAGCAAATTAAATAGTAATTATATTTGAGCTATTTAATGGGCACACAAGTGATATTGATTATGAGTCAATGACTTCCCATTCAGTGGTGTGGTCTGCTTAGTAGAAACCAACCCATTAGGGGATTATGGGAATCCAATGATTAACTTATAAATAAATAGTTATGGTCTCAAATACAATTTCCGTTCCCCATCAAATAGAGAGAATTGCCCATATTCGGTCCAGGTTGCATAGTTGAGGAATACCACAAACCCAATCTATGTAATCGTTATAGGTAATTCTAATATCTTTAAAGATTTTGGTTTTCTTCAATACGTAGATTATTGGTCTTGATTGTTCTGGAATTTTATGGCTTTTTATTCTAGAATAATTATGAATTAGGATTTCTTTAATTTTTCCTACAAGGAATTTATAAACAATCGAGATTAGAATTAGAGATGTCAATGATCATTATACGAAATTGTTTATGCAAGGGTTTGCACAACGTTTATCTGGCTCGAACCTGATCCTTGCTCCGACCCGAAACGCGAAGGGAAGACCTGCACAAGAGGGCAAAATCTCTGACGCTCAAGTTAGTAAGCAGCTCGGACTCAATATTAAGTTCGAGGAGAAATTTCATACCTGATGGTGGAGTGAGACCTTCTATTTGTAGGTTTAGGTTCAGACAGGGGTTACAACAGGCAGTTACCTTGGTCAGATTTGAGGCCGGATGTGTCGGGTTTGAGCAGGTAGACCTCAGACACATTCCTGGAAATGTCGAGTGAATTATTTATTTGGAAACGGTGAATGTCTCATCTCAAAAGGATCCGAGATGGAGCTCCATAAGCTTACCCCTTTAATGGCTCGCCCCTGAGTGATTGTCGCAGACACCTTCATGACCTCGGGATTTGGCTGATTTCGTAAGCCTAGAAGTAAGCGAGGTTTGATCTAACCTTTCCTAAATACTTCTCCATCCGAGAGTCTTTTGTCTGGTACTTTTCTTTAATCTAACTCAATATAAGTTGTGAATCACTGAAAATCTGAAGATGGGTGGCCCCCAGTCATTTTGCCATGTGCAGTCCAGCCAACAGGGCTTCGTACTCGGCCTCATTATTTGAGGTGCGAAAATTGAAGCATAGGGCGTACTCGAAACGCATGCCACCCGGGGCGAGGAGAAGCACACCTGCGCCACATCCTTTTTCGTTCGAAGAACCGTCCATGTACACCGTCCACGGCTGGTCGAATGTGGAGGTTTGAGCTGGTGGAGGAGTGAGCTCAGCTATGAAGTCTGCAACGACCTGCCCCTTCATAGCTGTTCGGGGTTCGAACTGGATGTCATACTCACTTAGCTCTACTGCACATTTCATTGAACGGTCCGATGTATCTGGCTTATGGAAAACCTGTTTTAAGGCCAGATTTGTGAGCACAGTCACGGTATGAGATTGGAAATACGGTCTCAGTCTTCGTGTCGAGGCGACTAAGGCGATGGCCAATTTTTCCATTTGGGGATACCTAGTCTCGGCCTCGGTCATGGCCTTACTCGTGTAATAAACAGGAATTTGCCGTACTTCATCTTGTTTGATTAGGGACGAGCTGATAGCGTTGTCTGATACGGCCAAGTATAAATGCAGTTTATCTCCTAGTATCGGCCTTGCGAGCAATGGTGTTGAGCAGAGGTAACTTTTGAGTTCTTCAAAAGCTGCCTCACACTTGACTATCCACTCTAATGGTCCCTTTGTTCTTAACACTTTGAAGAAGGGGATACACTTGTTGGTAGACCTAGAGACGAACCTGTTGAGGGCGGCGATTCTCCCATTGAGACACTGCAGCTGCTTGAGGATCTTTGTGGCTTGCATCTCGAGCACGACCCTTATCTTCTCCAGGTTGGCCTCTATCCCGCGATTATTCACTATAAACCCGAGGAACTTGCCAGATGAAACCCCAAAGGCACACTTTGTAGGGTTTAATTTCATCTGGTACTTGCGGAGGACCCCGAATGCTTTGGTCAGATCGGTAAGGTGCGACCTGGACTGCTTGCTCTTAACAAGCATATCGTCCACGTAAACCTCCATATTGCGTCCGATCTGGTTGGCGAACATTTTGATCACCATCTTTTGATAAGTTGCCCCTGCATTCTTTAGATCGAAAGATATGACTTTGTAATAGTACAGGCCTTGATCAGTTATGAAGGAGGTGTGAACTTGGTCTAGTTCGTGCATCATTATTTGGTTGTATCTGGAGTAGGCATCATTAAAGGTGAGCAGCTCATGCACCGTCGTAGCATCTACGAGATGGTCGATCTTTGGCAGTAGGAAGCAATCTTTCGGGCAAGCCTTATTAACATTGGTGAAATCTACGCACATTCTCCACTTTTCGTTGGATTTTTTTAACTAAAACAACATTAGAGGGCCACTCAGGATAGAGAATCTCTTTTATATATTCAGCTTTCAGCAATTTGCTTACTTCCTCAACAATTACATCGCTCATCTCCCTATTTACAGGTCTTCTTTTTTGCTTGACAGGTCGGAACGATGGGTCAATGTTGAGGCGATGAACCATAATCTTCGAATTTATGCCCGATATGTCCTAATGAGACCAGGCGAACACGTCCGAGTTCGCCCTAAGGAAGGAAATGAGTTCCTCTCTGTTCGCAGCCCCCAACTTTGTGCCTATGCTCACTTGCTTCTCCGAGCTTAGCAAAGGGACAAGCTACAACTCCTCTACGAGCGCAGCTATCTCTCGCTGGTTCGTTTGAGGCAGTTTGTCCTTTGAGGTTTGAGTGGCTAAGCTAGAGAGATTCGTCTGTTCCTCTAGGGTGCAGACTGATGACCCATTGACTGCAGCAGTATAACATTCTTTGGATGTTTTCTACTCTCCACGTACCGTGCCAACTCCATTTATTGTAGAATACTTCATGACTTGATGCAGAGTTGACGGGATGACACGAAGTGAGTGAATTATAGGTCGTCCGAATATGGCATTGTAGGCCGACCTACCATCTATCACCACGAACTCGGCCATCTGGGTGACTTGAGTGTCACCTTGTCTGATTGTGATGGGAAGGTCAGTGCAACCCTCCGGAGTGACGGATTGTCCTGCGAATCAGACTAAAGGTGTTGGACTCTTCTTCAGCTGTGCCCTGGTCCATCCTAGTGTTAGGTAACTGGTAAGAAATAGAATATTGGCAGAAGTGCCCCCATCTACCAGCACCCTTCTGACCTGGACATGGTCTATGAGGGGTGAGATCACCAAGGCATCGTTGTGGGGCAAGTGTACCCCATCCAGATCGGAGTCGGAGAAGAAGATAGGACAAGTCGGCTTCTACTCTAGAATGGTGCAGACTTCCCGACGAGCCTCCCTAGCAAGCTCCTTCCTATTGTTTCCAGACTGGCCCCCACTAAGGCCGCCAAATATGGTATTGATGACCGCGGGTCGGTCATCCCTACGAGGTGGCGTCCTTGAACACTTCCTGTCCTATTTTTTCCCTACCGAGCTCGAGCCCGACATACCAACGTACTTCTTGAAGTAGCCATCTTGAATCAGGTCCTCAATTTGGCGCTTCAACTCCCAGCAACTCGAGGTATCGTGGTCGTGGTCGCGATAAAAACGACAGTACCTATATTTGTTGTGCTTCTCTACGTCTCCTACAAGTTTGTCAGGTTGCTTGAGGAGCTTTTCCAAACCATTCTCCTCGATATTGGTGAGAATCTCGGAGATCGGAATGGTGGTTGGGGTGTACCTTTCATAGGGCCCCCGCCAATTGGAGTTCGAGTCGGATCTCCTATAGTCAGACCGATCCTGGGAAGACGATCCTTTGTCCTTAGACTTAGGTTCAGACTTCCCCTTTTCTTGGCCACCTATCTTCTTCTGGTCGGACCTCTTGTCTATCCGACCTTGTTTGGTTCTAAGTAGTTCTTGCTCGTCTATAACCTTCTTGTCTTTCTGCAAGACTTCAGCGAAGGTTAATGGCGCTTCCWTGCCTAGCTTAACCGTCAAAGTTTCATCGGTCAGGCCGGTAAGGAAGTAGCACATGGCCAAATCGTCGGAGCAATGCGCAACCTTAAGCTGCTCCTCTTGGAAGCGGGTCACGTACTCTTTCAAAGTCTTGTTTTCCTTCCGTCGGATGGTGGCGAGGTGAGTGGCTGTCTTCCTGTCATAGTGCCGAGAAGAGAACTGACTAATGAACTTTTTCCTCAGCTGGCTATAGGTCAAGATCGACCTTATCGGCAGCCTTCTATACCAGAGCTGGGCACTCCCTGTGAAAGCGATCTGAAAGGCTTGGCACTTTATGGCATCAGAGGCCGCTTGAAAGTCCATGAGGCCCTCAAATACTTCCACGTAGTTCAAGATGCCCGCCATGAAGCTCTAACCTGGTCCTTCCCATAGAAAGCGCCAAATGTTTATGCAAGGGTTTGCACAATGTTTATCTGGCTCGAACCTGGTCCTTGCTTCGACCCGAAACGCGAAAGGAAGACCTGCACAAGAGGGTAAAATCTCCGACGCTCAAGTCAGTAAGCAGCTCGGTCTCAATATTAAGTTCGAGGAGAAATTTCATACCTGATAGTGAAGTGAGGCCCTCTATTTATAGGTTTAGGTTACGACAGGTGGTTACCTTGGTCGGATTTGAGGCCGGATGTGTCGGGTTCGAGCAGGTCGACCTCGGACACATTCCTGAAAATGTCAAGTGAATTCTTTATTAGGAAGTGGTGAATGTCTCATCTCGGAAGGATCCGAGATGGAGCTTTGTAAGCTTACCCCTTTAATTCTTCCATTGACGGTGAATCTCCGACCTCCACGTGGCAAAAGGATATTTCTTCCCCAAACAAAAATAATATATTTGTATTATTTTAAAAGAAATAATCTTACAAATACACAAATATATTTTTTGTTTGCAGTTATGTAAATTATGATTACTTGTAATAGTCTGCTGTAGAGTTAGTTTGGAGTTAAGCTATAAGCTCATTGTATAAATACTTGGAGTAATATTCAATAAGATTGACGGAACATTATTCAATATTGTTTGTATGGTATCAGAACCGTACGACACGCGACCATGGCTTCTTTATCAAAATCCTCTTCTTTGTCCACCACATCAATACGTGTTCCTCCACCTTTCCCAAGTGTTCTCCTCTCCAACATATATGCAATTTGACGTCTATTCGGTTGGATTCTTCCAATTTAATTTTTTTTGGAATATCAATCTCTGCAATCCTCAAAGCTAATTCTCTTTTTGGATATGTTGATGGCTCAATTAAACGTCCAAATCGATTAATTTCTGGCACCGAAAACAATTCACAAAGAATAAAAATTAAAACAAAACAAAGTCTCGTGCAACGGCGCCAAAAACTTGTTGCGCCTCTGCTTAATAGCTAGAGAGTAACAAGCAATAATATAGAAATATTCCAAGTTCGTCTCCACAAGGACTAGTTTTCTTTAAAAATTGATTTTGTAAATTGCTTAAATGAACAGTCGAGTTGGGATAAAAGTTGGTGAATTTGTTGGGAACACAAATTAAAAACAAAACGATTAAAAAGTCAACCTCTTACGAAGATTTAGTTCTAAAAGAGGATTACACCTATCAAGCTCAGCAGCGGCACAAGCTCGAGCTCCTCGACTGGTGTCCCATGGGTCGGTTCATCTAGGGGTGGAGCCTCGGCTGAAATCGCGGCACACATGGCTGAGCCCTTCAATGCTTCAGCATAGCATTCCCTCGACGTCTTCTGCTCGCCTCGGATTGTAGCTATTTCAGCAGCAGTCGGATACTTCATCATCTAATGATATGTTGAAGGGATGACCTTTAGCTGATGTATGAAGGGTCGACCTAGTATGGAATTGTAGGCCGCGTGCAGTTAATCATCACGAACT